ATGTCCAGAGAATTACCTGAGGCATAGGGTTTGGTCTGCTTGGCAATGGAGAGTGGTATGGAGCCTGGGGACTTCACGATCACTCTTCTGAGTGCAGAGAGGCCCCTCCATATCCCCACATAGGCACCCAGCTCTTCAAGGCATCCACCATCGGAGGAGAGCCCAGACCCAAGTACCTGGGAGACTGTCTGAGGCCTCAGGCAATGAGAAAGGGAGACCAACCGAGGTTTGCAAAGAACTGCTCTTCTTTAAGAGCTGGGTAGTGAGAGTAGGAGACAGAACTAGGGAGAGACTAAGCCCCAGATGGGAAATAGGACAGTCTCTTCCTTGTGCCCAGGCGAGAACTCTACACAAAAGCTTCTGCTTCCATCTGAGAGAATGAGACAGGGCTTGATATTCAGCTGTCCCTGTCTGCTGACCCTCTGCTTTGAGGACAGCACCAGACTGGGACCCATATCCTCAGCTAGTTGAGGAATCCAAATCCAGGGCCCTGGGCCTTACCTCTGTCCATAGCAGAGGCCACCTGTGGGGCCATTTTCCACTGAGGACACCTACCTGCTGGGTCCCCCTGTTAAGAGTTGAGGTCTTCCAGGCCCCTTTGGAGATTCAAGTCCTAACTTCTTTCACCCTGCTGGGCCTTGCATCTCACTGCCATGGGTCATTGACCACCTCAGGCCACCACAAACAGGTCCCGCTGACAGGGCTGTCAAGCTCCCAGACTCCGTGGCCTTCTCCTGTGGAGTCCAACAAGCAAAGAATTTTGTTTGGAATGCTGAGATCCCAACTCCCCACCATCCTGCTCCCCACCTCCTGCACACACCCTGGTCCCCCCATATTGAATCCACTCTGGGCCCCACCAACAGAAGATTGGGGCCCCCTTGTAGTCCCAGACCAGTCACAGCTATAGCACAGCCCAGACCCCCCCATCCCTCTCAATACCTCAGCCCCAATTTTTGCTAACCACAAGGGCATCACACCCACAAGAAGCAGCATGTGTTCCTGTCATCCCCACTCCAATTCAAACCTGAGCTACATCACCTTCTTCCACTATTGTGATTCAAGCACTCCCAGATTTCTGGCTCAGCCATCAAGGAGGTAGTGGTCACCATGGGAGATTCTGGAGCCTCTCTTCCAAGGAGATGGAGGCCCAAGACCACAGAGGACCGAGAAGGAGGTCAGGCAGGTTCCCTTTGGACATGAAGTATCCTGCTCTCCACACTGGAGAGACAGTGCTCCTATCAAATCCTTTGTCTCCCGCCTGAACACCCAGTCTTTCCTGCCTTTGCCCCGAGTAGCATAATTGCCAGGAAGTCATGCTTCCTTCCCCACCTCCCCCATTTGTCCAGTGTGTAGATATGGATTTGTTCTCACATAAAATATTAAGAGGTTGCTTTATTATCATGGAGATTGCCATATTCTTTCTTGTTAAAACTCATATAGGAAGATGTTTGTCTACAGAAGGATTTCCAACTTTGGAACTACTCACATTTTGGACCAGATCATTCTTGGTTATAGGCCATTGTCCTGTGCACTATAGGCTTATTGGTATCCAGTAGATACCATTAGTTCACCCAGAGGTCTGACAACAAAAAATACCTCCAGACATTGCCAAATATCTCTGGGAGGAAAACTGAATATAGTTGAGAACCACTGAACTAGACTAAATATTTTTTTAAAGGCTAAAACTAAAAGAAGATAATGATTAATGAAAAAAACAAGATAGACGTTAGGTGTGTCACAATGCCATTTGAATAAATACTAAATTATATTTGGAGCACAATAGGGAAGATCAGAAACCAGGTAGGAGGTCCTTTGGACACTTTGCATGTTCTGTTCTTTGCATCCAAAGCATTTTTAAATACTGTTCAAACATGAATCTCATGGATTTCCCTCATTATAGAGTCAGAAAATACTGCCATAAACTAAGCTAGGTCACTTCTCCAATGGAGCTCACTTTCTAAAAGGTGTAAAGACAAAAGATAACCACGTAGGGCCGGCCCCGTGGCTTGGTGGTTGGGTGAGCGCGCTCCACTGCTGGCGACCCGGGTTCGGATCCCGGGCTCGCACCGACGCGCTGCTTCTCCGGCCATGCTGAGGCCACGTCCCACATGCAGCAACTAGAAGGATGTGCAGCTGTGACACACAACTATCTACTGGGGCTTTGGGGGGAAAAATAAATAAATAAAATCTTTAAAAAAAAAAGATAACCACGTAAATAATTATATACTATGTCAGTTGAGGATATGGGCTATACAGAAAAATAATATCAATTGATTCATTTCTTCTGAGGAGCTGACACTGGCAATTGGGTGGGAAATTCCTTGTTATGTGGGACATCCTGAGCCTCTTACGACATTTATTTTCTCTCACCCCACATTCCTAGTTCTGGAAGACCTAGAAAGTCCCTGACAGAGCCAAAATACACCCCCCAAACACACACACACATACACACACATTTCCAAATGCTCTCTGAGTGGGGGGCAGTGCCATCCCCAGCTGAGAACAGCTTTTAAATATTTAATGTTTATTTCCAGGCTTTTTGACCTTCTCTAAGGGAGTAGGGAGCTGAGTAGGGAGTTTCCAGGGAAAGTGAACAGGTCTGTGACCCACTGGGGATCACCTGGAAAGGATCTGAATAAAGAGGATCTTTCCCATCATTTGCACTTTTTCCGCTCATGGAAATTTTCTCTTAGCAGAAATTAACCTCAAACTCCAGGTACATTCTTTCCTAGGGCACACAGGGAAAATATTATGTCTAAATTATCCCAAAACCATCACTATTTCCTGGAAAACAAGAATTATGGTGGCGGAATGTGGTGGGGACAATATTAACAGGAAATGGTGAGATTCACAAGAGCCTCTGCCCAGCCGGGAGAGCACTGGGCTATTCTCAAACCATGGACAGCTCCCAGCCTCTTTCCATTTGCACAGGCAGGTAGAGGCAGGAAAAAAGAAAATGGGGCCAGCTGATGTCCACACAAATATGAGCAAGGAAAGAGCAACCATAGGTGATGGACTCCTCATGGATGTAATTTCTACTTGCCCCTTCCCCTGGTGTCCTGAGCACTCCTGCCCTCTTCACCCCAAGAGCTGGGGAAAAGGCACACATAAAAACCATCAACTCTTCCAAAATGCCACCATCTGTTTCATCTCATCTTCCCCCATGTGCTCCCTGTCACCTGCTCCTTGTCATCCCATTTCCACATACACAGCCCCTCATAACTCTTGGTCCACCTAGACTTGCTCCTGCTTCCCTGCATCCCACACAGTCACTGTCAGGAATGCCCTCGCCCCTTTCTCCATGACCCTGTTCCTTCCCCTTCTTTACAGTCAACCTCATTGGTCATCTTGCCACCAGTTTATCTCAACGTCCACTGGTGGACCCAATGAGCCTCCTCTGACTCTTCTCCTTTGTTGTGACAACATGCTCAGGAGCAGTTACCTATGCTCATCTCATGTGTCCTATAGATCCCTAAGTTCCCAAGAGACCGGCAGGATGAGCCTAGTCCTGGTTCTCAACAGACCCTTCACTCCCACACAAGGGCCTGAAAGAAAAATGGTTATAGGTGTTCAGAGAATGAATAAAGGAAAGAAAGATGGATAACTGGGTGACACCTGCATCTGCTCCCACGTAGTCACTACAAGAGTGCTGCGGAGGTGCAGAAATGGACATTCACGTACACTCCCAGTGGTGCACTGGTGCCAGTTTTATACAAGGCAATGTATAGGTTCCTCTCCTAAATTTTTCGTTTTGAGATAAAGTTCACATAAGCTAAAATTCACCATTTTAAACATTTGTAAGTGTGGCGCCAGGGGAATGTGGCACATCTGGTCTTACCAGAGTTCTACTGTGCTGCAGGATAGACCCGGGGTCCCAAGAGTCCTGCATTGACTGTCCTTGTGTGCAAGAGGTCAGAGCGCATCTCTGCCCAGGGATTGGTGTCCAGAGCACTAATCTGAACGCTGGTCAGACAATTGGTCCCAAGCTTGACAGAGGGTACAGGTCCCCTCATATTCTCTGGAGGGTGACATCGGGACACACAAAGGTGTCTGTCTCACATACAGTCACACACACCATATATCACACACCACATGCACAGAACTGATAGACTCACTTGACCTACAAATGTCCTCATGTACCCTGAGAATGGAGTCAAGGAGGAGAGTGACCCCCATCCTTAGACAAAATGATAGATGTGCCTTTGCTGGAAAAATGTCCCTCTTTTCAGGAGAAGTGACATCGTGTCCCAGTGTGCAGCTCCCAAGGAGAGCTGTGCTGAAGAGACATGGGTCCCATCTGATGGGGTCGAGGTGAGTCTCCTGTAAGTGCAAACACTGCAGAGTTCCTTCTCCTTGCTCTTTCCCCCCACATAGACCTGCCCAAGGAGCCTCAGCACGTTTTTCCCTGCTGGGACCAACATGAGCATCATGACTGGGGCAGGCTGGGCTGACTCTCACATGGAACCCTTTGTTGTCTTCTGTTCTCAGAAACTTGTGGGGTAATGGGGCCCTTCTTCAGACCAGGCTCCCCTCTGTCTCCCTCCTCCTCTGCTTAGGGGGAGACAGAGGGCAACCTCTCATCAGCAAATGAGTCTCCCTTCTCATCCTCATCCTTCATTTCCCTTCCATGGCATTCTCCTGCACTCATCTAAAAGGATGACTTTTCCATAGGACTTTGACCAAGGCAACCCCAGACACCCAGCACTTCCACCAACTCTGTCACGTGAGCCCAGGGAACAGCTGGGAGTAAAGGCTCCAAGGGCACCCACATCCTCCATCATCTACCTCCTTGCACTGAGATTTCTGTCACCTAAGCCCAAGTTCCCTTCAAGTCCAAAGGCTCAGCACAAAGGACCTCACACTCCCCCCAAGGCATAGAACATTCCCAAGGAAACAGACATCCTCAGAGAGAGGACTCTCCAGACTGACCAGAAGGTGATGTCCATGGGCAATTCCTCACCTGGCTCACTCCCCTCAGCTACTCCAGAGGCACTTGGGGCTCTGTGTGGGGTATTCTCTCTCTCCTCTGGGATTCCATGGGCTGGGAAAGCTCAAGGCCTTTTCAGAGAAAAATACCTCCAAGTCCTTCCCACTCAATTCACCAGGGCACTGCTAAGTTTTACGTCTATGTCTGTCTATCCTGACAGAACCGTGAGGTCTCTGCATCAGAGAATAGACCATTTACTCAGAGACAGAGGAAAAGCTACAAAGCGTAGGGAGATTGGTGTGGATTTATCATTTAATACTTGCTCACCCACTCTGGGAGAGTTCAGAGGACACACATTTCACCATGACTGTGAGATATGAATTTGTAAGGGAGCCCCAGCATCCTTGAAGAGCTCTCTGATGGCTTTTCTCTGTAGGACAGAAATTACAGTGGGAACTTCCGCCACTGAATGGGGAAACCTAAACACAATGGGGGTAACTGGGTCCTGAGGTATCAGGGCCAAGAGATGGCATTTAATCACCAAAGGCAAGGTCACCATAGTGACCATGGTCACCATAATGGACAGCAGAATCAAAGCAGCAATCAGAATAGTGTGATTTATAGAGACCAATGGCATTGGCTAGTTGATCATGGTGTTCCTAGAAATAAAATGGATGGGAAATCTACCAAATTCTTACTTGATCTACATAAGCAGAAGAGGTCTAGGTCAAGTTAATGGAAGTTTAACTTGAATTATAGAAACAGACTGTTACAGCTCCTCAATCAATTCCCAGACTTGAGCTAGTTTAAAAACTCAAAACACCTTGAATAAAGAGGAGGCTCGGTCCCCTTGAGGATGATCCACTGTACTGCCAAAAATGTATACTGTTAATCTTTCTCCGAGGTTTCCTCTGAAAGACCCGTGGCCTTTTACTAGGGTGATTGTGCACTGGGGAAAAGGAAACAATCAGACTTCTGGGGGATTGCTGAACACAGGCTCTGAGCTGACACTAATTGCAGGAGACCAAAAATGTCATGGTGGCCCACCAGTCAGAGTAGGGTCTTATTGGAGGTCACGTGGTCAATGGAGTTTAACTCAAGTTTATCTCACAGTGGGCCCCGAAGCCAGCCTGTGGTTATTTCTTCAGTTCTGGAACGCATTATTGGAATATATATACTCAACAGCTGGCAGAATCCCCACATTGGTTCCCTGATCTGTGGAGTGAGGGCTATTATGGTGGGAAACATCAAGTGGAAGCCACTAGAACTGCCTCTACCTAGGAAAATAGTAAACCAAAAGCAATACTGCATCCTGGAGGGATTTCAGAGATTAGTGCCCACATCAAGGACTTGAAGGATGCAGGAGTGGTGATTCCCACCAAATCTCCATCCAACTCCACTATTTGGCCTGTGCAGAAGACAGATGGCTCTTAGAGAATGACAGTGGATTATCATAAGCTTAACCAAGTGACAACTCCAGTTGCAGCTGCTATACCAGATGTGATTTCATTGCTTGAGCAAATTAACACATCCCTTGGTACTTAGTATGCAGATATCAATCTGGCAAATACATTTTTCTCCACACCTGTCAGTAAAGACCCACTGGAAGCAGTTTGCTTTCAGCTCTCTAGGCCAGCAACACACCTTCACTGTCCTATCTCAGGTGTCTATCAACTCTCCTGCCTGTGTCATAATTTAGTTTAGAATGATTTGGGGAGCCTTTTTTAGTTTAGAATGATTTTTGGAGCCTTTCCCTTCCAGAAGACATCACCCTGGTCCATGACATTGATGACATTATGCTGATTGGACCTAGGAGCAGGAAGTAACAACAACTCTAGACTTATTGGCAAGACGTTTGCATGTCAGAACATGGGTAATACATCTGACAAAAATTCAGGGTCCTGCTAACTCAGTGAAATGTCTAGGGGTCACTCTGCTCTCTACAATTCCAACCGTGTCCAGCAGAGGGAGGGCAGCAGAGCCTCGCTAGGGGGCTGCTGACCTCCCTCAGCATTGCCCACAGCCCAGCAGGGTCTGTCCCTCGCAAGCCTCACTCAGTCCACTGTCCTCCTCACTCTCCAAGCTCGCCACACTGGACTCTCTCAGCACCCCCATCCAGACAGGCGTCTTCCTCCCTACGTTCTGGTCCCTCTGCAGGCAGCTCTTCCCTCCACACCCTTCGTCCTTCACGGGGTGAACATCTACTCACACGTCAGGTCTCTGCCAAAAGGTTACTTTCTCAAGGTGTTGTCAGTGATTCCCAGACCATCTGAGACTCCATTACATGCTGTGGACACACCAGACACTCCTTTCACAGCCCTTCTCTCGATTACAATTAACTCCTTAGTTCCACGATTTTCACTGAGTGCCTGTCTCCCCTTGGAAAGGTAAACTCTGTGACCCCAGAGCCACGTGTGTCCTGTACTCTGTGGAGTCCCCAGGGCCCAGATCAAGGCCTGACACATCACAGATGCTCAGAAAATACTCATTAAATAGATGAAGGAAATGACACAACAGAAGCCTGTCATCCTTGTCTGACATCTGGGGATCAGAGAACATTCTGCGTAGACATCGGGCACTGGCATCAGCATGGGAGGAGCCCATGGGATGGGCGTTTCCCCTTGCAGAGTCAAGAGAGAGGACAGGGGCCTCCTAACAGCAGGGGGTCGAATCCCTATTCACTCCCAGAAAATCACACCCCCTCCCCATCTCTACCTTGTGAGTGACTTCTCTCCTCAGAGGGCCTGAGTCAGCAGCCTGTGTCCTTCTTCTTCTCACAGACACTTGACCTGGTACAAACTCTGAATTCTCAACACCAGGTGGACTTACCACCAGGAGAAGAGGGAGCCCCATCTTGACCTCAAAATAATCGGGGCAACTCCCCAACTCCAGTGTCCCTGGTCTACAGGGACACCTGGCTGTGGTCCCATGAAGGCATCTCATCAGCTCAAGACATCCCGGGGATGAGAGGAACTTACCACTCAGGATAAAACAGGAGAACCAGGATCTGCATTTGCTTCCGTCTCAGAGGGGCTGAGGGTCCAATGGGCACCTCCCTTCTCCTCATAGAGGAACCCACGGGGTCCCCTGTCTGAGTCTCCACGTGGAGTTGCTCCAGCTCCTGGGCCCTGTGGGGAGGCCTAGAGCAGACGACAGACAGGGACACAGATGACTTGATGCAACACCCCAGTGCTGTGATGGAGGAAACAGGACAGCCTGGCTCCAGCTCCCAGGCCGGTATCCTCTCCCAAAAGCTTCAAGAGACACCCCACCAAGCCTACTCTTTAAATCTCAGGGACAGAGAGCTCATCCTGAGACAGCACAATTCCAGAGGACAGTTCTTCTGACACTGGATCAGGAATCCTCCGGACAACATCTGTCCTTTCCTTGGGTTCACCCTGCACTGAGATGGAGTCTGGCAGCCTGGGATCCCCAAAGCACAGGACCCAAACTTACCAGCCTCCCAGCCTAGAGATCAGAGACTACCTCTGTCTAGGGCTCAAGGCCCCCTCACACCCTCTGGAGCCTGGTCAGCATCCCTGTTGCAGCCCCTTGACATTGGCCACAGGTCTCCTCATGCCCTCCAAGGGGTGACATTGGGACACAGAGACAACACACAGGAAATTAATACATGAACCTGGCTTTGGCTAAGGAGGTGAAGAAGGAACCTGATTTCCAAAACTCCCTCTAACAGACACTTTCAGGCCCCTCCTACACACCTGCTCTGTCACACTTTCCCCTTCTAAAGGCCTCAGAGACCCTGCTCTATCAGGGGTCCCTGTGCAGCTTCCTACTTCCTGCCTGGCACCACCCATGGGGATGGCAGAGTGACCACAAGAAAGTCAGCTAGGCACAGGACAGAGGTCCCCAGGATGGTCAGGGAGCACATGACAGTCTCTGACCCACAGCTCAGCCAACAGATATGGAGGGGATGGTGGTCTCCCTGAGGCCTTCTCCTGAAGACCAAGAAGCCCACAGCCACCTGACCTCCCACCACCACCATCCTCTCACTCAGGACACGCAGGAAACCTCCCCCTTCACAGTCAGGAGATACCCGTACTGGGTCTCTGTCCTTGAAAGCAGAGGCCAGGCTGGTGACACCTGGAGATGGAAGGCTGGTCCCCTCACCAGTCATCACTCAGCTTGCCCCTTTCGCATCCCCAGAGTCATCTCTATGACCTTCCTGCTGGGAGTAAATCCAACCTTCCCAGAGCATTTGAGGACATTGGGAAGACCCTGATGCCCAGATAGGTTTCTGTGTCAAAAACAGAAATAATCTCCCTGGGTTTGGAGACCCTGGGTCTCTGTGTGGTGCTAGCAGACTCAAAGCCAGGACGCAGCAGAGGCCAATGCTGGGGGGAGGGTGGGTCCTCCTCTCATGGGCCAGCGGTCCCCATCAGCCTTGCTATTGAAAGCGTGCTCCGCAGGCCAGTGTGATCAGCATCACTTGAGAGCTTGTCAGATGCAGACTCTCGGGTCCACCCCACACCTGCCAGGTAAGAATTAGCATTTTAACAAAGTCTTCTGACTCTGAACAGGAGAAGGGGAGAGCCTGCCCTACACCCACAAAATGAGCATCAACCTGGCTAGGTAGCCACGAAACTGGGCAGCTGCTAAAGTAGCATTTCTATTGTGTCACCTGGACATTGACAATCTTTATAAAGTTCCCCAGGTGATTCTGACACAGAGCAGGGGTGACATCCCTGTGACAAGAGTTCCCGATGTAGCCCCAGAACTCCTGCTCTAAAGGGAAAAGTCAAGTGTGAAAGAGAAAGGGCTGTGGGGGAGACTGACTGTGCACCCTGACCCAGAGTTGTGGGGACTGCCCAGGACACCAATGCCCCAGGCTGTGCTTGTCCACACAACGGTGGGAGTGTGTGTGTGTTTGTGTGCGTGTGTGTATGGGGGGAATCACAGCCAAAGAGGGAGAGGCCTCCACAGTTCCCAGGGAACAAAAATGTGGACAGAAAGGAAAGGGGAAGGAAGGGACTAGGGAAGGCGAAATGAGAGGAGAGAGAGGGAGGCTCCTGGACAGAGACCACGCCCACGGTACATGTGACCCCACTAAGCACTCCTGCCCCTGGAGGAGGCCCAGCACAGAGGGAGGAAGGACAGCAGAGCTGAAGCATCTGGACAGCAGTGCTTGTGAGCATTTCTGGAGCCCAAGCTCTTCTCACAGAGGGAGGAACAGAGCAGGCAGCAGACACAATGGAGTCCCCCTCAGCCACTGCCCGCAGAGGGCGCAGCCCCTGGAAGGGGCTCCTGCTGGCAGGTGAGAAGGGACAATTCTCTGAGGGTGGGCAGGAGATGGGAGAACAGAGATCGGCTGGGGTCTCCTGGGGAGGACAGGGCTCTGAGAGGAGACAGAGGAATTCTGTTTGGCCCTGAGGGGAGAGGACATGGGAGCAGAGTAGGATGGTAGGAGGGGACTCAGCAACAGGAAATTCTCATGACCTGGAAGTGGGGAGGGGCAGGAGTATCTCAGTTGCTGTACCTTTCCAAGTTAGTCATCACTGACCAATAATATTTGAAAACTGATGATAATAATTTATTTGAAGATGACACTTGAAAAAACTTAATTAGGGATACTAAACATTGTCCTTACCCACGACCCTTAGAAATTGCCAAATAAATACCAGGATGTGGAGGGCACTGGGAACACACGTTCATTCATCCACAGGTGTTTGCAGCCTGTTCCAGGCACTAGAGATACAATAAGATCAGACAAGTCCCTCCCTTGATGGAGCTCACCCTTTATGGGGAGGAACACAGAGAAGCAAAGAAATCTAGAATGTGATATCAGGGACTGACAAGCATCTTAAAGGGACCAGAGCAGGGAAAGGTCAGAAAGTGAAGGCTGAGAGTCTTTAGAGCAAGTGTCAGGGAAGGCATCTCCAAGGACGCCCCTGAGAGTGAGCAGCATGCTGAGGGCAGTGAGGGAGTGAGCCGGGCAGACACCTGGGGAAGAGTATTGGGAACAGAGGAAATAACAAGTTTAGAGGGGCTGAAGTAATGGTGGTCATGCTGCTGACCTTGACCAGTAGACACAGACACAAATACATACACATGCTACAATTCTAAGAGATGGAGAGAGCTGCTAAGGACCCAAGGCCTCATCATTCCACCCTAGTACATAGGTCCAAATATTGATTGATCTCTCTCTCTTCCCTCCTAGTCTCACTCATAAACTTCTGGAACCCACCCACCACTGCTCAACTCACTATCGAATCGGTGCCGACCAAAGCTGCTGAAGGAAAGGATGTTCTTCTACTTGTCCACAATCTGCCTGGAAACCTTTCTGGCTATGCCTGGTACAAAGGGGACAGAGTAGATCCCAATCAACAAATTGCAACATATGTGATAGACAGACAAGAAATTACCCCAGGGCCTGTGTACAGTGGTCGAGAGAAAATATACCCCAATGGATCCCTGCTGTTCCAGAATGTCACCCAGAAGGACACAGGATACTACACCCTACAAGTCATAAAGACAACTTTGCTAACTGAAGTAGGAACTGGACAGCTCCACGTACACTGTGAGTGATTCCTCTCTGACCTCTGGTGTTGGGTGGGGTGAATTCTACTTCACACACACAGGATTAACAGGCCTGGACTGTGCCTACATCCCCCTCTGCATGATGTCTTGTGTTGGGGTTTGAGCATTTAGTGCAGGACATACACAAGGGGGACAAATTTCATAAGACTGGAATACCCTTCCCAGAATCCAGCCCTTGCAGACATTCCCAACAGAAAGAAGGACCAACTTGATGAGAGGAACTCAGCAGAGGGAGATCAGTTGGAGTCCACCCCCCAGAGCTCCTCCCTGTGAACATGACCCTGAGGAAGACCCTGCACAGCTCGGTCAGGGCCTGACCAGAGAGAACGCCTGGGATCCTTACAGGGAAGCTATACCTGGGAAGACCCTGCCCAGACCCCTGTCCCAGGGGTCCTGACTCTAGTGACCCGGGGGAGCCTGTGCCAGGATTAGATTTTGGCCTTCTGAGCAGGGCTGACTGGGAGCAATGATTTCCTAGCTGCCTAAGTCCCAAAGCTCCTGAGCTGGTCAGTAGTCAGGGCTTGGCCCTAAGAGCCACATCCAGGCAGGGGCGGAGCCTGATCTATCACCTGAGACTTGGCTAGGAGAGCACAGATGGACAAGGTCCCTAGGTCATTAGCCAACTTCCCTGGGAGTATAGGGGACTCCAGAGGATGGTCACCATCCCCAGGGAAGAACAGAGGGTAGCAGAAGCTCCTGGCGGCTCCTCATCCACCAGGAATCAGGCCCAGGGAGCTCTCTCTCTTGAATGCCTTTCATTTGGGCAGCTCCTCCATACTACGCTTTAGGTCAGATATTTGGGGATGTTTTAAGGTTAATTCACAGACAACATTGTAATCCAAAGACCACTGACCATTTACCTGATTTTATTCAAGGGAAACTGAGGCACAGGGAGATACAGTCATTGAACTAGGGTCACACAGACCATGAACAGCAGATCAGTCACGGCAAGATCTTTGTGCAGCCATAGCTCTGACCTCTCCAACACCCTGACCACTCCACCATGGATGCCTAATAAGACCAGCCCAAGGGCCACCATTGGCTCAGATCCTTTCTTCTTAGGGATCCACAGCTCAAGGTAGATTTTCTGGTCTGGGGAGTGACAGTAAATGGAGAATTAACCTATTTTTATTCAAAAACTAAATTACTTTCATCAACAGTCAGTCAGTGCAAGGAATGTCCAGGCTGCCCCCTCAGGTGGCCAATCCAACCTCTCCGCACTGGACATGAAATCACTTATTTGTTTCCTGATGTGTTGGTGTCACTCCCACTGGAGTATAAAGGAAAGGACTTTGCTATCTCATACCCCACTCTACACCTGTAACCTGCACTGGGTCCCAAGAACTCAATTGCTCTTTCATGAAGGAGGGAAGGAATGAATGGTGAATGAATGAATGATCCGTAATCTCTTCACAGACTGGAACCTGGATGCAGAATCCTAGGAGGTTATGGACACCCATGTTCCCTGTCTCTCCAGGGGCTAAGATCCATGTTCTATCCCTCTGACCACCAGTCCCTAAGGCCAACTGAGAGAAGAGTCTCATGATGACTGTGGGGCTGCTCAGCCCTGGAAGGGTTTTCAGGGCTGTTCTGGGCCCGCCCCTGGGCCAGCCATTGGCTCTTGGAGCCTGGGGTCTTTGAGGTCACTTGTAATCCCCACTGTTCACAGCCTTGGACATTTCTGGCTCTCTCTGCTCCTTATGTGTGCCTCACCTTCCTCCTCCTTCATTCCAGCTGGGACTGCCTCAGTTCTGCACAGCTTCCTCCACTCTTAAGGCTTCCCTCAATTTTCCTGCTAACACCTGTGGCCATGCCCACCCTCCTGGGCAATAGTAAAGGACACAAATCAGTGGGAGCAGAAGCCCCTTGAGGCTCCATCATGAGCTAGTTTCCCCAGGTCACCAGGACAACAAGCTTCCGTTGTGCCCTCATCCAGGGCTCTTTCCCTCCATAATGCCAACAAGTGGAATACGCCATATGACAAGAATGTGTGACCCCTTGATCTGCTCTCTACATGACTTAACAGGAAGTCAATAGCAGAAGGACAGGTCTGCAGTCCCCAAAAGCTCACAGGCTCATTTTGCCCCTTTGACTCCTGACTCACATCCTCATCCTGGTGAGGCTCCCATTAATCTAGCAGTTTCTGTGAGCTTCTCAATGTGGGGCTGGCCAGACCCTGCACCGTCTGACTGGTTTACTGCCTATTTCACACACGTGGGTCCTCATGATGACGTCTTTACCATAGGGTGGGATGCTCTCAGATGGTGAGATCCACCAGCCATTTTCCTTTCACTTAGATGCTGCCCAACTTGAATGAATTTCATCAAACTTGTGTTTCCTGAGGTCAAAAGAGAGCCACATGAAAGCATTGGATGTTCTTCCCATTTTACCTGAATGTTCATATACATTGGTGACAGAGACCTCTTTCCTAAATTTACTAACATAACATATATCATTTGGACTAGTTTGGTAGCATTTCTCCCTCTATATAACAGACACCTCAGATGCAATGTGCCTGATCAATTGTGTTCTCTTAACAGGACTCACATGTCTCTCTCCATGCAGGGAGTCGCTGATTTCAAACGCACTTTAGCATCTTCCTTTGATCATAATGTGATCCTGGTTGGACTTCAGAACTCGGCCTATGACCTTTAGTGCTCTCTAGAGAGATTTTCCTCCAGAAACTGGCCTTAGATCTTTGGGGCATTAATACTAATTTTCAATATGGAAACAATTTAACTTCTCCTCTGATTTTTGTCTCATAACTGTGATTACAAATGATCCATGAAGGCTATGAAGGCTTTCCATCGGTCAGTCCTTCTGCACTTGAAAACATCCACTTGTATTTCAGGAAAGATCAACATGTCCTCACTTCCCTCTGCAGTGGGAGAAGAGACTTTAAACACCAAGGGCAGAGCACATGGTTCTGCTGCCAAAGCCAGCCAGCCCCGACCTGTCCCCCTCACTCTTTTCTGGATCATTTCTAGTCTTAACTCTGTTCTACCATTTATGGAGTCACAGTCTCATGCCAGTCACCCTGGAACACATGGGAAGACCTGCCCCACTTCATGGCCCTGCAGCATGATGACTGAAATGACCTCCAGGCCTGCTCCTGATCTCCCAGTATAATATTTCTGCTCATATGCCCAGTTCCAGGCTATGCTGCTCAGTCCTCTCTGGGTTTAAGAACTATAGGAAGGCCCATCATTACCCATCTCTAGGATAACCATGGAAAGCAAGTCCTCAGGGAAATCACATCTGGCTGGGCGCTGTAGGTCTGTGTAATAGAAAGGGCCTCCGAACCCACAATTTCCCCAAGGTGAGGACCCCAAGGCTGGTCCAACAGTTAGCTGGTCAGTGAAGAGCCAGGAAAAGCACTAGATGTTCTCTGACTATCACTCCGTGTCTTTCCATGACCAACCCTGATGCTTATTTGACTTGGGAAAGTCTGTGTTTTCTCCCAGACATAGACCAGGTGGCCTTACATTCTCTGAGTGCTCAGATCCTTATGCATTTGCCTTGGGATATACAGACCTGCCTCATTCTTTTAAGGACTTGAGTTGGCTGAGAGGTGAGAGATGCCAACTCCGAAGACGCCTTTGAGGGAATCAGAGGTACCACACAGGGGAATATTCTCTCTCTATCTCCACAGTGGAGTTAACCAAACCCAACATCACAGGCAACAACTCCAACCCCGTGGAGGACGAGGACACTGTATTGTTAACATGTGAACCTGACACTCAGGACACCACCTACCTGTGGTTGATCAACAACCAGAGCCTCCAGGACAGCGCCAGGCTGGAGTTGTCTCTGGACAACAGGACTCTCACTTTATTCACTGTCACAAGGAATGACACAGGACCCTATGAGTGTGAAACCCAGAACCCAGTGAGTGCCCGTCGCAGTGACCCATTCTACCTCAATGTTCTCTGTGAGTAACTTCTGTCCCTACCTGGCCCAGCATGTCTGCCAAAATCCACACTACCAGAGGCCCGGCCATATCCGTCCCTTGCTGGTCCCAGTACACAGACCATCACCCCTGGACATCCTAGCTGGCCTTGACTTCCTGTTTCGAAGAAATCTGGCCAGGCCCAGTCTTGAGCCAAGACTAGAAGGGGACAGGCTGCTGCTGTCTTGAGAGGCTTGCGGTCAACAACCTCTGATGGGAGAAACAGGTTATTGTCTCAGACTCAGCATGAGTGAACACAGAGAGGTCATGGTTGAGGGTTCTTAAAACAAGGTTGTGACCCAGCTTAGAAGGATACTGTGGCCCTTGTACAGACCAGAAGCTTCCCCTTCCCTCTGATTACATCACGTACGGCTTTTATCTGTTTGCTCCAGATGGCCCGGATGCCCCCACCATTTCCCCCTCAGACTCCTATTACCATCCAGGGGCAAACCTCAGCCTCTCCTGCCACGCGGCCTCTAACCCGCCTGCACAGTATTCTTGGATTATCAATGGGAGGCCCCAGCAATCCACACCGGAGCTCTTTATCCCCAACATCACTGCGAATGATAGCGGATCCTATACCTGCCTCGTCCATAACTCTGTCACTGGCCTCACTGGGACCACAGCCAAGACTATCACAGTTTCTGGTGAGTGGGTCCCTGGACCATCGGCACCAGGCTCTGGGGCAGAGATCAGTCTGGTTTTCTGAAAAGACCCTGGAAGAAGTTATTTCCCGTCCTGTGTGCATGGACACAAACAAATCCCAAATCTGTCCCTGAACACTCCCACAATATCTCTGCAGACTCTTTTTTTCCTTGCTCTATGATTTCTCAGGGCAGAAATGGGTCCAGCCTGGAACTTGACGAGCGGGTTCTCCCAGCCCCAGAAAGCCCCATACAGTGGAGGGGGCTTCACAGAGGGAAAAGGAAGAAGGTTCTTCTTCTCCCAGCTCTCCTTATGACGGACTCTGCTCTGATGCCATCTGTGGTGGGACAGGGGCATGTAGGGAAGGTACACAGGCAGCCTGTCCTCAATCTGGCCAAATCGTGCCACCCACTGACACCAGAGCCTTTCTCAGGCCAGGCTTCAGGGAAATGGGAAAAGAGCAAGCCTCAGTGCAGACTCCGCTGAGCTGTGTCCTGGCTCTGAAGTCACCAGCTGTATGACACTGTGTGACACCAGGACATACATATACCAAAGGAGAACAGTGAATGATGGTGCACACTTGGAAAAATATGTAGATTCATCCATGAAGTCCCTTCATGGGATGGAAGGAGCAGTGCTAAAAAGTTTAGAGTTTACAGAGAAGGCTAAGAGTACCAGCCTTTTATTAAAACTGTGACCACTTCTCTGTAGAGATTTCCTTCTCTGTGATATTCAGTCCACAGTCCAGAAGTAAAAGTCCTATTCAGATTGAGAAATCCTTTAGATTGGAACTTCTCCAGGTCCTAAGGTTATGATGACTGGCTGGGCCATGCTCATTCTCTAATAAATTATTTAACAAAAAGGAAACACCTTCCTTTCTCTATGTAAAGCTACCACTCTAGAGAGCAGGCTTGATCATTCATAGTCACAGAAAGCTCTAGCAAAGGGTCACAGAGGAGCCAATGGGACAAAAATTCCACCTGATGATGAAGATGCTGGACACGTGGCCTGAGAAGAGATTCTTGTTGCTGATAGTATGGAGATGTCATGGGGAACCAGTCTTGGGTCATGCTGGAGTGATCTGTGCCTGTGGGAAATGTGGCCTCTGTGCAGTGAATGGTGATGGTGAATGGAGATGGGGAATTCAGAGTGCACTAGCCCAGGCCTCCCTTCAATTAAGTCCCCACCACAAGAGACCTGAGAGGCACATATTCATGGCTGCCATGACTGGCACACAGCAAAAGATGCAACCATGAAAAGGTGGGACGTTATAACATACAAAAACAGCCATCAGTCTTTCTCACATTTCCAGAGCCTTCAAAAACATCTGAGTACGGAAAGGCCAGGATGCAATTGAGGCAAGTCTGATCACCAACTTAGGAATACAGTGAGAGGAAACATTCACAAGGACATAGTCGGCTAATCACCTCACAGCAGGCTTCCCGCAGAAAATTTATCCCTTGAAGGAACAAGTAGAGACTTGTTCTTACTCCATGTTGAGAGCTGTTTCTCAGGGCAAACCCACTATAAAATAATGTCACCTTCACTCATTCTTCTCTTTTCTTTCTATGACAGATGATCCAACACAAGGAAGTTCTGCTGGCCTTTCAGCTGGGGCTATTGATGGCATCGTGATTGGAGTCCTGGCTGGGGTAGCTCTGATAGCTCCAGTGTACTCTCTGTACATCTGAAAGACTGGAGGGTATGATGGCCTTTCTTAGTGTTTCGCTTTCTCCAAGGTGAACCACCATGCTTGGGATAGGAATGGAGACTTCAACTCTGTCTGTGGGCCTGGATCTGCTCCTCATCGTTCCTAAACCCCCGCTCTTTGGCACTAAATCCTGAGGGTCTCTGTTCTCTGCTCTTCATGCTTTCTATATCCCACTGTCTCTTGGACATGGTCATTCCCAACCCCATCGGGTTTAGAGGGGACAGATCCAATTATGTTCCTCTGTCCCCTAGTCAGGGAAGCCAAGGTCCAAGAAGTAAAACAAATGAGGAAATGACAGGAGGGGCAGGAGAAAGCACGTCCTGTGCTCTGTGAACCATAGCAATAGGAGGGAGGACTAAGACAGGAAGAGGACATAAGAAAGAGCAGAAACAAACAAAGGCCTTCTGGGCAATAAATAAAGTGAGAAAAAAAAAAGCATCTACCTACAAAAGGGGAAAGGTGTCAGGGTAGAAGTAGGCTCAGAAGCAGTTGATAAAGAATGGACCTAAATGTGCACAACCAGCAAACAGGAAAGGAGTAAACACTAGAAGGAATTGTGGGTAGACTGAGGAAGGAGGCCCTGAGAGGAAAGGCAGTACCCACCATGGTATAAATGAACACTGAGGAGCCCCAAGGTATTATCTACTGACAGTGTCCTTCCTCGTTCAAGGAGCAAAGAAACTATGCTCAGGAATAGCAGTCGCAGTGTCTGATATTTATTTAGGGCAAGTGACCAGCGTGTTCTCACGCAACACAAACCCTCAGCCTCCAACCACACAGTAAGTAAAGTCACTCACCCAGTGAGAGCTGGTGTGTTCCACCACGTGCCCTGCCCTAGCAGAGAATCCTGGATTCCCGACCACTCCCTACCTTCTGAATTTTTAGAGGGGATCTCCACTTACCAATCTTTAGTTGACATAGGTCCTCACACCCTTTCTAGCCACAAAAGACTCCCCTGAGACAGCCCCAGGAGAAATGTTCACTCTGCCTAGGCCGGACAGGTCTGAGTAAGATGGACATGTTTCCAGGAGCCATTTCCTCATTCTTACTCCTTCCCCCTCCTTCCTTTTTAAGGATGTGGGCATTCTCTTTTGGTGAGACTTTCCCTGTCTTGTGGTGCTCTGGGTGCTGTGGGCCTCAGTGCCCCTCCACCGAAGCCTGTTGCTGAGAAATACATCAGGGAAAAAAATCAAGGCCTTGTGGCCTAGAGAAAAAATCTTCAGAAGTGGATGGAGGCCTCCTGTGGCTCTACTCCTGCCCCTCCTCTGGTACTAATGCCCTGGGTCTGGACCACACACTCTGAGGGAAGCCAATTCCTTAAGTGATCACAGGCCACCTCCCCACTCAACCCTCCCACCACCTGCCACCTCCTTCAGCTAGTATCACAACAGCTTAGGAACACCATCTTTCTAAGACCTTAAGTCAGCTGTGTATTTCCATGGGTGGGTAACTCTTCTTTTGCTTCCCCAGGTCAGGGCCACTCTGACAACTCCCCTAACAAGGTAAGCACAGCCAGTTTCACTGGTTCACTTTCTCATGGAAATATCTCTGTGTAGAAGGGGTTATTCTTGAAAACACCAATGTGAGACCAGGTTTGGGTCAAAGATCCTTGGTGCAGCAGCAAACAAAGAAGTGTTGGTAACGACTCCCATGAGTCTACCTCTTGCAAGCATGTGGACTTTGGAATTATCCCCATCCTGTGTTTGAATCCTGGCTGAGACTCTTAGTACCTCTGTGACCTTGGGCAGGCAGCTTAACCTTTCTGATCCTCAGCTTTGTCATCTGTAAATGGGCATGCTGCCTACTTCAAAGAGAAGCTGAAAGAATTCAATGAGATACAAACGTAAAGCACCCAGCACGGTGCCCAACACATGGAAGGCCTCGATCATTCCCCCTCCTCTACCTCCAGTCTGACTCTGCTCTTACTGTCAAAGGATAATTTCCATTCTAATGGATCTGAGGTCTTAGTTCCTTTACTTTGTAATAATTTTACCAAATTTTTCTCATTTTAACCTTTCAATAGCATACAGATATATACTGAAAAGTGCTTAAATCATAAGTATATTTTAACAATGTATGATTTTTCACAAGATGAACATACCCAGGAAAGCAGCACCAAAATCAAGACACAAAACATGTCATCCTCCCCATAAAAATCCTTCCAGTTACTTCCCTTCAAAGAGTACCCACTAACCTGACTTCCAGTGCACTAGATTAGTTTTGCCTGTTTATGCTCTTCCATAAATGAAAAACACAGTATATCATTATATGTGCCTGGCTTCTTTCATTCAAACTTGTTTTGTGAGATTCATCCATATTGTTGTATACATTTGTAGTGTGTTCATTCTCATTGCTATATCATCATATTCTGTTGTACGGATACTATAATCTCTCTCTTCTAATGATCATTCAACAGGATGTTAGCAAGCAGAGAAATGGGTGATAAAAGCCCTTCTCTAAAGCCAAAGTTTCAAAGTGGTAATAGCACATGGTACTGAATCACACTAGACCAGGTGAGGGCCTGACCTATGACACTGATTTAACTGACCACTGCTCATGCCTTTCAGGTCGATGAAGTTACATATTCTTCCCTGAACTTCAATGCCCAGGAATCAAAGAAACCAACTTCAGCCTCCCCATCCCCATCAGCCACAGAAACAGTTTATTCAGAAGTAAAAAAGAAGTAACGCAACCTTCCCTGCTCACTGCACTGTGGACTTATTCCAAGCTACTCACCCCCATCACTAGAAGGATCCCTTTTCCCTCAGGGAAAAGAGGAAGAAGCCTCTTTCCTCCCCTTAATTGCCAAATGAGGCATCTCCAGGCTGCCTGGTCACAGCCCCTCCCTTCAGTGTCAGTACATGAAAAGGTACATCTGGGAGTCTGTAGGAAACCCATCCTTCCTAGTCTTTCAAATTTGGCAAAGCAGACCTTGGGAGACAGTTGCCAGAACCTCCCGCCGCTCCCCCTCTCTTGACCTAGACTTGTTTTAAACTTGCCTATTCAGAGCACACTCCTTCCTTTCCACCCTAGTCCTTTCCTATAGGAGTCTAACTTGAATTTGCCAAAACCTTGAGAGTTATGTCTTTATCCACTGAAATGCATGTGCCAGAAAAGAACACACAAAAATAAAAGTTAAAAGCTTCTCTGTCTCTCCAAGGCCCAGTGTGAACCCACCAGGCACAGGAAAACAAATATACAACATATACTGAACTGAGAAATTCTGCACCTTTGTCCACTGTCAGGGTTGTCTACCTATAGGACCAGGGCCTAAGAAGCTTATTGCTTAGTGGAATGCGACCTAAGCCCTCTGGCAAGCCTGTCTTCAGAGAACCCACTAGAAGCAACTAGGAAAACTAGAAAAACAAAATTTGCCGATGTCCGTAGGTGAGTCCTAATGAAAAAAGCAAAAAAATTGCACACACATTTTAATAACTTTATGGACCTTATTCAATTAAATGCCCACAGAAGGAGGGGTTACAGCTGTAGGGAACAGTCAGCTGTTAGTAGAGACAATCTGCTAGGAATTTGGGAAAGGAATCAGAGAGCTACCCTTCAGAGATTGAACAATTGTTAAAGAATGCACAATTGAGGATACTTTTTTTCCCATTTGTCTGAGACATTCTGCCATTTTAATTTTTGTAATTGCTTATTTATGTGAGAGGGGTTATTCTAACTTAGCTTAGCTATGTAAGCCAATCTGTCTGCCTTAGGTGAAAGAAGCCACCAAAATCCCTCGAGTCCCTTTGGCCAGGAGCTCCTCAAGGCTTCTATGTCAAGGGCTCTAAATAGAAAAGAAGGAGAAGCTGTTTTCCTCATTCATGGCTAGAGATGGATCTAACTCAGTTTCTAGGCAACTCAGACCAATCACCAGCCACCATTCTATCCCATGTATCTGTCTGTGCATGTTCTGTTTGTCTTCCCACTCACTTTCTCAGGAAACCCTGGCCCTGCTAAGGTGCATTTGGTCCTTGAGAAGTGGGAGCACCCTGAAGGGAACACTATCATTCACTCCATTGGCGCTATTTACAACCAAGAAAGCTGCACTGGTGCCGATGCTCCTTAGGACACAACGGGACTATTATAACCGGGCCCTAGGCTTCTTGAACAGCCTCTGAAATGTGTTTTCTCTCATGGGGTCTATGCATCCCAATGTGTGTTAGGATAAAAGGAAGGGCAGGAGAAGGAGAGGCAAATGTACTTCACACCCTGCCTTCTTCTGTACAGATGGAATCACTTTGGGGCTGTTGAGAGAAAGGTTTTATTAAATATTGATTACTTGATCTCATGCTGTGTCCAAGAGGGCCCCTCAAAGAGGGTTAGTTGGGAGTTCTCTGTACTCAGGTACCTCTTTCAGGGTTTTCTAACCCTGACACAGACCGTATATACTTCCCCTCGTCCACGCTATTCTGTGTCATATGATTTTGCATGGCTAAGGCCACTTCTGAATTATTTGCAAAATGTGCTCTATATTTATAATAAAAATTATATATCAGACATCAACATGCTGCCTCACAGTCATTACTAATTTAGACAATATCTTCCTTACAGGCAGAAGAAAGAGAAATTGCTTAACTGGGCATCGGAGTAAGCCTATTTCTAAGCCTACAGATATTTGATCTAGTGATCAGAGAATTAGCTAAATTCATTTGCACACCTGCTAACAAAATGGGTCTATCTAGAACCAACAGGCCACAGCTCCAACCTGCCTGGAAGAATGGCCTGTCTTTCTCCCAGAAAGAAGAGGATTTCATGAGGAGAAGTTCTCCCAGCCTCTTTCTTAGGGACAAGTGACCCTTCCCGCACAGGTGGCTCCAGTGAATCAGTCACAACAATACGGCTTTCACTCACAAGTGTCTCCAACGATTCAGTCACATAGAAACCTCTCCAGCACCTTCTCTCTTCCTGTCCCCAGTTCCTTTGTTCTGTTCCCTCAGAGGATCAGATCTCCTCTGACCTGAATCAACTTCATTTATTAATTCCACTAAAGATTAACCTATTATCTCATCTTCACTTTCAAGCAATGAAACATGTGTGCTGTCTTTCCTCTTCCTCATGACCTCATTTCTCCAGGGCCTCTGCTGTAGTGCCTCCAGACACAAGACTGCTGGAAGCAGCATAAAATCAGTATCCATCTCTTGGGCAAACTCAAAGCTATTTTCGCTGTCCTAACATTGTTCACTTTTACAACAACTAAGACCACAGATAACTTTTCCTTCTTGGACACTCTCCTCCTCCCATCCACAGCCAATGCACTGCACCCCCACACCAGATTTAGTACTCAGACCCTGCTTGTCTCCCTCCACCACCCTCTTTCCACAGCTCAGTGACCTCTCAGCAGATGCCTCCTACATCTCTATCTCTACACCTGCTCCTTCCCAGAACACATGATACATCTAAATAACTTCAGCCCTTGCTCTTTTGTTTCCCAGACTCAATATGTCATCAAAACCTGTTGATTCTTTTTTAATATCTCTCAGTTGTGTTGTTCTCTCAATTCCCATAAACCTTCATAACCCAGACCCTCAACAACTCTGCTGCTGGAAGTATAGCTTGACGTCTTGTCTCCAGTCTCTCTACTGAAATCTTCCTTGCATACTACTGCCTCATAACCTTCCTAAAAACTGGTTCACTCTCCTACTCAAGAATCTACATTGGTCTAGCCTGGCCTACCAGATAAGCTCAAATTTTTTTCTCTTTATGGACATTTCTTACTTTCTTTACCACTACTCTCTAGTATAATTCCTCCATTCTAATTATATCCGTCTCCTTACTCATCCCTGCCCCTCCACCCATATACACATATAGTTCTTAGTCTCAATGATATGCCTGAAAAAACAAACACCAAACAGGGCAATGTTCTCCCTGTTCTCTCACAGAGGAGTTACCCACACCAGTCATCACATACAACTACTCCGACCCCGGGGAGGACGAGTACCCTGTAGCATTAACATGTGAACTTGAGACAGAAGACACAACCTACCTGTTGCTGGGTAACTTTTCCTGATGACCAGTTCAAGAAATCCTATTGAGTACCTACTGTGCCTCAAGTCTCAGTGTTAGACTCCATGAAAGATACAGAAATGAGAAAGACAGGGTCCCTATCCCAGGGAACATAAAGCCTAAGACAGGAGATAAGACATGAAAAGTTATTATAATACAAAGATAGAAAGGGATACATGCCACAAGAGAAGACCAACAAATCCAAAGGGAAATATGGCTACAACATTAGAACGACCGGGAAATGTTTTAAAACGACTAACACTCAGGCCCCACCAACAGATCCCAATTTAATCAGTGTGGGGTACAACCCATGCAGTGGTAATTTTTTAAAGCTTCTCAGATACTTTTAACATGTAGCCAGGATGGAGAACCTTTGCTGTAATACGTAGGACTTGAGCATAAAAGTAGTGGGTTTTAGCTAGAAGTATGAATCAGAAATACCTAGAGAACCTTTTCAACATACATAATAAGCCTATAAACCATCCCTGAAGAAGCTGATACAGTATGTCTAGAGTGAGACTTGGGTTTGTGTATTTTGAAAAACTCCCAGGTGATTCTCGCATATATTTTATGTTAGGAAACACTGACTTAAAACAGGGAGGACTAAAACAATGGGGAGTTAGGAGAACATTCCACGAGACCGGCATGAGATGAAAAATCTATTCTGCAAGGCACAGAGAAGTAATCACAAAGAAATTTTTCTCAAACTGTAAAATACCAAGTGTTGTGAGGATGGAAAACAAGTGGTATTCTTACATATTGCTAATAGAAATATAAAAAGACACAACCACTCTGGAAAAGAGTTTGGCACTTTCATATAAAGTTACACATACTCATACAGTGCAGCAATACCACTCCTAGATATTTTCCAAAGAGAAATGAAAATAGATATCCACACAAAGAGTTTTACGTGAATGTTCATAGCAGCGTTATTCACGGTAGCCAAAAAGGGGAAACAACTCAAATATCCCTCAACATGTGAAAGGATAAACAGATTGTGGTATATCCATACAATGGAATACTAATTAGCAATAAAAAGGGGACAAACTACTGCTAAAACAAGATGGATTACTCTCCAAAACATCATGCTGTGTGAAAGAAGCCAGACACAAAGGAGCATATATGATATGATGCCATTTAAATGAAGTTCAAGAATAGGCAATAGTAATTAATCATGTTAGAACTCACCAAAGGGGGTGGAATTAACTGCAAAGGTGCACAATGGAGCTTTTAGGCTGATGGAAATGTTCTACATCTCTATGCAGGTGGTGATTACATGGGTGTATACATTTACCAAAAACCAAATTGTACACTTAAGATCTGTATGCATTTCAATGTATTTTAATTTTATCTCAATTTTAAAAAATAAAACAAGCCAAGGAGCAGCTAATTCAATCTATCTGGTACAAAGCACCTGTATTTTCTATTTTTGCAAAACAAATTACCACAAATTTAGTGGCTTAAAACAACAACCATTTATTCCCTCAAAGAATTCAGTTCCTTGAAGTTATAAGACTGAGGTCCCTATTGTCCTGCTGGGGACCACTCTCAGCTACCAGAGGCTGTTCTCAGGTCCTACTCATGATGCCCCCTCCATCTCAGCAATGGAGAACATCCCTTAAATCCAATCCCTTTCACACTTCTAATCTCTCTGATTTCCCTTCTGAGACCAGCTGGAAAAAACTGTCTGCTTTTAAAGGGCTTGTGTGATTAGATTAATCTCTATTTTTATTAAATAGATAACTCAGATAATCTCTCTTTTTATTAAACTCAAAAGTCAACTGCTTAGTAATCCTACTTACATCTGCAAAATCCTTTTGCCACATAAGGTAACATAATCCTAGGTATGCTATTGCATCATATTCACAGTCAGGATTAGGGGTAAATCTTGGGGTACCATCTTAGAACTCTGCCTACCACAACACCGTACGAAACCTGTTCATTCACTCAGGGAGCTCCTTCAAGGTCCTGTTCTGAAGAAATAGCAAAAAAGCCAAACATGGTCAGTCCAAACTCAAAGTGAGACAATAAGAGACTAAGGACAAAAAACAGAGACAAGAAAGCAATGGCCCATGTCCTTCTAGCCTGTGAACGTCTGAGTCACAGACACACTCATTACTCTCAAACCTTTAGTAATGTTCTCAGGCACTGACGGTAGCTAGCATCTCAGTTAATCCCTAACTAAACCCAAAGCCATCACAAGAAACCAACCACAAATGACACGAAGGCAACACTAATCCAACCAGATTTTTTGTGTGTGTGTGTGAGGAAGATTAGCCCTGAGCTAACATCTGTTGCCAATCTCCTCTTTTTGCTGAGGAAGATTGGCCCTGGGCTAACATCCGTGCCCACCTTCCTCTACTTTATACGGGATGCCGCCACAGCAGGGCTTGACACGCGGTGTGGTGGCGCGCTCCCAGGTCCAAAACCCGGGCCACCGTAGTGGAGTGCGCACACTTAACTGCTACACCACCAGCCTGGCCCCCCAGGAGATTTTATAGATTCCTGAAGATTCTTTCATTCAACACACATTTACTGAGGATTTACTGTATGTCAAGCATGAAGCCAGGTGCTGAGGAGAACATGCTGATTAAAAAGTAAAGCCCTTCTTTTCATCTGTATTCAAACAACTCTACCGTTAAAAAAAAAAAGTATGTGGCAGAGGGCCAGCCCCAGTGGCCTAGTGGCCTAGTGGTTAAGTTCGGCGGCCCAGGTTTGGTTCCCAGGTGCAGACCTACACCACTTATCAGTGGCTATGCTGTGGTGGTGGCCCACATACAAAAAGAGGAAGATTGGCAACAAATCTTAGCTCAGGGTGAATATTCCTCAGCAAAAAAAAAAAAAAGTGTAGAGGGGAGGAAGAAATAAAGGAATAGAGAAAAACGGGAAGCTAAGGAAAGAAATTTTGAGATAATTGCAGCAATTTGAACATCAAATACTTTATGATATTGAGGAAGTATTAATTTTTAGTGTGATGATGGTATTGTGGTTATGTTTTTTAAAGAGTTCTGATATTTTTAGTAACGCAACTGAAATATTTACAGATGAAATGATTTGATGTCTGGGATTTGCTTCAAAAAACTCCAGGTTTGGAGAGGGGAGTATAGATGAAACAAGATTGGCCATGAAATAATTGCTGGAGCTGCTGGGTGAGTCCATGTAGATTCATCATATCATTAGCTTAACTTTTCACGTATTTGAAATTTTCCAGAAAAGAAAAAAAGTTCTTGCTCTACGGAAGCTTCTAACACAAGGAGTCAGATATTCCAACAAATAGAATCCTATGTAGTTAAACAAAATAAACACAAAGCGCTGCTCAAGCTCCTAGGACAGTGACTGCCCCGGGGTAGGCAGAAGGAGTCAGAGAAGATGTCACAGGAGCCGCCCCCTTGACCAGCATCTTGAAGGAAGAGTGCCCCAGGCACAAGGGCAGCCCAGAGGTACAAAGGCACACAGATGGGCAGTGGCAGAACTTCCGCACACTCTCTGGATGACTTGAGAGAGGCCATGTTACCTAAGAGCACCTGTT